TGCAGCACCTCTAGGTCAGCACCCGCGGTGGCCGCCACGTCTGTGCACACAGGCTGAGAAGGCGCAAGGCTTTATTTACACGGCTGCAGGTCGCTTGTCCAGCAGGCGCCCTGGCTCAGAACTCCCAGTGTCCCTTAGTCTCCGGCCCAGGTCTGAGCATGGACACTCAGTGCCACCCAGGAGCCCCCGTGCACCTTCCCTACCCAAGGATCCAGCCCCGGGTGGAGTTCGGACCAGTCTCGCTTCAGAGAGGCATCCTTTAGGTGCCCCCAGTGGGAAGTGGCAGAGAGGAAGCTGCCAGCTGGGACGGCCCCGCCACAGCTGGGCACAGAGGGGCTTCTCAGACACTCCGATTCCCCAGCTCCCACTGGTCTTGGCCCCTGCACCCTCAGCCCACCTTTGCAGCCCTGAGCCCCCAGGCCTGCTGCTCAACTCCCAGCAGCCTCGGCTTCATCTTGACAGCAAGTGGAACAAGAGTCCTTTGCCTGGAGCTTGTCCCTGCCAGGCTGGGAGCACTCCTACTCCTGGGAGCCGTTCACTCCCCTGGGATCCCTGCTAGGCTTGGGGTGGTCTTCTGGCCTTTAGGGCTGCTACCTGGCCAAGATAGGGAGCCCTCTGCTGCCACAGCTGCCCCCAACCCCCATGGCCCTGTGTCCCTCCTCGTGACCTGCCCAACCTCACATCCCATTGCATGAGTTTAGTCATCCCTTTCCAGAAAGGACCCCACCCCTGCCACTCTCAGAGCCGCTGCATTCCCTGCAGAAAGGGTGGGAGAGACACATCTGGTGGGGGGAGTCACGTGGGCCCCCCGTATCTGCAGTGGGGCAGCTGTCCACGGCCACCTCTGCTGGGGAGGCGCCACGTGGGTGGTACGGAAGGCGCGGAGTCCAGGCTGGGGTGGGTGCCTGGTGTAGTCCTGTCCCTGCCCCAACCATGGCCTCAGTTTCCCCTTCAGACCCGTCTGTGGCGTACCCGTGAGCCACAGCGCTGTCCAGCCGCCACCTCCTCCAGGACGCACCCCTCATTTCTCTCCTTTCTTTCTGGCCTCATTCTTCTCGTCCTCCTCTACCTTGATGGCCACCGTGTCCACGCTGTCCTTCTTTTTCTTCTTCTTCTTCTCCTCTGCGGGGAGGGGACAGGGTGACTGGGTGAGGTGAGTGCCGGCGCCTCCTGCCTCCTGCCCTGGAGCTCCTCTCCCACCCAAACCGGCCCACCGCAGGGCAGGCCCCTGTTTTTGCACCTCACTCCAGCCAGTGTCCGTGCTCTGCTCCCTCACCTTCTGCAGGTGCGGGGAGGCTCAGGACACTTGGCCCAGGCAGGGTCGGACAGCCCCGGGCCAGCTACTCACCCCCGGGAATCTCCGTGAGCTCGTTGAGGGGCGGCACCGTCTCCAGCTTGTCCGTGTACATCTTGGCGGCCTTCCGCTGCAGGTACCGGGCTTCGATCTCCTTCCGGGTCCGAGGCACGCGGCAGTTGAAGACGCAGCACAGGGTAATAACTGCAGAGAACACAGGGTGGGCTGGGCCAGGCCGGGCTGGGCCTCAGGCACCCCGGAACGGCACCAAAGCAGGCCTCTGCAATTCTCCAAGAGGCTCCTGCAGGAGGCGGGGCATCTTGGCAAAGCCTGCAGGGCCCCTGGGGCTTCCAGGGGGCTTCCCCGAGCGAGGCTGCCCAGGGCCCACGGCCTGGAAGCGTCCCCGTTCTGCTGCCGAATTCTGACCATTCTTCGCTTTTGAAGGAGCCTGGTATTTGCATTTTGCATTGGTCCAGGTTCCCAGGGTCTTTCTAACTAGACGGAGTGTCACTGGAGGGTAAGGCAGAGGCCTGTCCTGTGTCGCCGAGTGGGACCAGAGTGCCGCCCCGCCCTCCATGAGGACAAGCCGGCTCCTCCTGCCTGCGGAGGGCGCGGTGAGGGCACAGACCATCCTGGGCGTCCACCTCGGACCGAGCTATTCCAGGAGTGGTTTTCCGGCCCTGGGCAGCTGCGTCCATGCAGCTGGGCTGACTAGAAATGCCAGGGCAGGGCTGCCAGGGGCTGGCTGGCCTGGATTTATTTTTCTATCCCCCCTCCAGCCCTTCTGCCTCAGCCTCAGCCCCAAGAGAGGGGATGGAACTGGTGCCCGTTATAAATCAGATGACCAGACAGCTTCCTGGTAGACTCCAGGGGGCAGAAGGGGCCAGACGGAACAAGCCAGGCCTATTTTGGGGAAGGCGGGTCAGGCCTATGTAGCCTAGAACGCCTCTGGGTCATTCTGTGCAACTACAGCAGTGTCCCTTCCCCTAAATACTGCGGTCCCCTGCATCTCGCCTGGATTCCCAGAACGAATGGATGGGTGGATGAAAGGCCTCAAAGCCTTGCTGTCAGAACAGAGAACTCCTGAATGAAGGACTCCACTCAGGAGCCAATAGCCTCGGGGCACACAGGAGGTGGGCGGGGACTCTGCACAGGGCCCCGGCAGCAGGTCTGCCTACACCGCTGGCTGGGGTACACCTGAGCTGGTGGGCCTTTATAGCCACAGAGCTGGGTCGTTTGGTCTGGTTTTGTGGTTCTGGTCTTCAGACCTGGTGTGCATGCCGGAGACCTAAGCTGGGCCCACTCCAACCCTGCTGGCTTGGGCCTCTCCTACCCAGTCACCCCACCAGGCACCTGTCTGGAACACACTCAGGGTCACACAGGCCGATCCCAGGCCCCGAGAGGCCAGGGCGATCCAGGGGGCTCAGCGGGCAGCTGCTGGCAGCCAGAGCAGAACTCACTGCCCTTGCCCCAGGCCTGCCCCGCCCAGCCCCACCTCCTTGCTTCTCTTCAAAGATGGGGAGAGACAAGTACTTTGGATTGAGTCCCAGTGCCCAGGCAGGGGCTCGGGGTAGAAGTTCCTGTTACAGGAGACTCCAGAGACTCCCCTTCCAGCCCCAGCCCCCACCCCCGTGGGCATCTGGGGTGATACCCCACGAATGGCTGCACCACCAAGGCCCAAGCAGTCTGGGAAGAGGCACAGAAGTCTCCTCCCAGGACATGGGGCCGTGCCGTCCCTGCTGCCTGGGCCTGTGCAGTGGGAGGCTGGCCTGCTGCTCAGGGGCCCGTGGGGCCACCCCGACCCTTTCTAGGAGGTGGGGCCAGGTAGGGGCCGGTCCGTGTGGGTGATGTCCGAGTGTCTCTCTAGGTCTGACCCTACTCAACTTTCTCGTATGACCCAGGCACCGCCAACTGATTGGGGCTGCAGCGCCTGGGAGAGGCCCCATGGCGTGTACCCGCCCCAGGGCCTCCAGAGCCTGCCTAGACCTGCACCCGGGGCTGCTCCTGTGGCTCCAGCAGGGTGAAGGGCTCCCCCAGCCCCTCCTCTTGGGGCTACGGCCTGGTCGGATCCTTGGGCCCCTGGCCGAGGCTACAGGCACACCTGTCTACCTGGGCCTCCCCTAAGCTGCCTGGGCTGGCTCCAGCCCTGGTGGGGCACTGATGCAGCTTCTGGCCTGGACGGGAGGGAGGGAGGGGCGTTTTCTCTCAGGAGGGCACTCCTGGTGTGTGGAGAAGCAGTGCATCAGGGTGGGCCCTCTGTGGGTGGCCCTGCCCTCCAAGGGACCTCATCCAGGACAGCTCTGGCTGGGATTAAACGCAGCGTTAGCGCCTCCCCACCCCCAGAGTGCACTCATCAAACACCCTGGACGTGTCCTCTGAGACCG